ATATATATATGGTTTTATTTTAAATAGAATCTCATCATGTAGTTCATGCTGGATTCAACTCAAGGCAATTCTCCTGCCTCAGCAAACTGAGTACTTGGGTTACAGACATGCACCAAATGCCTACTTAGCTCAATTGCAATACATTTTAATAATAATTTTCTTTTATTATTAGTTGTTATTAACTTCTTACTGTGTATACTTCATAAATAATAGTTTATCATAGGTAGTAAGTATGATAAAGCACAGAGTGAATATTTAAATTTTTAAAATGTTTCTAGAGTCAAAACACATTGCAATTAATTCTTCTCAAAATACTGCCCCTCTCTACCCCATCGTTCCTGCCACTCTCTGAAGTAGTTCTGGAAGTTTCTTTGCTGAGTATCTTTAGTTGAACCTTCATGGGTGGCTTCAGATCCTGGATAAATGCAAAATACTGACTTCAGGGAAGAGCCAGAAGCACATGTGCCAGAACTGGTGAACAATGACCTACACCGCCTTCCAGTGGACGGCACTTAGCAGCAGCGCTTACTGTACCCTTTATTTTGTGCACTGTAGAAACTCACACGAGAGGACTTTAGAACTGCTTCAGAAAGTGGCAAGAAGAACAGGATAAGTGGGCTTGAAGCACGCTGGCGGTGGAGAATTGTGAGAGAGAGTAATACCAATGTGTCTTTTACTCTAACTAATAAGCATTCATCATATTTTAAACAGAGATCACTTGTGTGTGTATACAGACAGACACGGATGTATAGATGATACAGACACACAGATACAGAATTAGATATGAAACACACAGTATACATAAGCTTCAGGCATGAGTGGAGGTCTCAGAATACATCCTCCATGAATCTTCTGTCAGTTGTCATTTACCACAACTTCCAATGTTTTTGAGAGTACTTTTATGTTAAAAATGCTCCGTGGTTTTTGCAAGTGAAGTCAGTTTCTTTGGGAAGAGATTAGGGGCTGTTAATTTTTATGGCTTGCTCCTCTCACAGGAAAATGTCCATAGCTCATGTTCTGGAGCTGGGAGAGGGAACAAAGCCAAGCTGAACTCCGAGTGACATTCTAGCTCTAGTAGCTGAGTAAATGAGCTTGGGAGGCACACATTTTGGTGGTTTCTCTCTCTTACCCAGCTGCCAGTGTAGGACTTTATTCGTGGAAGAAGCAGGACGTCAGCTTGTTTCATTCTGCCCCCAGCTGCTTGTTGTTGAAGCTAAATGATGTGGTTACATATAGGGGCTCCCTATTACTACCCACACCCACTTCATGGAAGGCAGCCAAGAATTCTTTCTGTACAATAGTCATGGTTCCAATATCCTCCTGTGAGCTAGTTCCAAATGCTTCTGAACCGTATGCTTAGGTGTAGGCATAGCAACAACCCAACTCTTGGTACCAATTTTTACTTTAGTTTCTTTCCCACCCCTGGACACACACACTCATAACACTTCTGGCTTATTTTGGCTCACAGGTTAGTCCATAGTCATCTGGCTCCAAGGCAAAATAGACATGGTGGAAGAAAAACTATCCAACCCTTGGCAGCCAGGAAGCAGAGAAAGAAGGAAGGAGCCAGGAACAAGATTACACCCTGCAAATTAATGCCCCCAGTGACAAGCTCCATTTAAAAAGATCACACTTCTGAACATGAGATTTCCATGGGACACTTTAAATCTAAATCTAAACCATATTGCCAACCATATTTATTATGTTTTATTTTCATGATAGTATCCTGTATCACTTGCTACTTGGTATTCCAAAACTCTCACTTCTACAGACAATTTATTACAGTCATGTACAGGCCATGATTCAGTATCTAATTTATCAATGCTTTCATAAAAATTTTTTCCTTCAGTATTGGAAACAGTCATTAACATCTTTAAAGATATTAAGAGATATTTTAAGTGGTTTTAATTAATTAATTATACTTCCTATATTATTCAGGGTTGCTGATCCTGGGGTATAATACCTGACACTCACAATTTAGAGGGAAAGGTTTAATTTCACCATTTTCAGGATATTCAACTCATAATCAACTGGCTGCACAGTTAAAAACTTGGTGTATCCACTGAACTTTTGGCTTCATTCTTACAGTTTCATTAACTGTCCTTTCAAGGGTATATTTTTTCAGCCCTTCAGGCCTTCCTTTGATAGATGAGCAGAAGCCTTTAGAACTGGCACTGTCTGGGTGACACAGATATGTAACATCTGCTTGAGAAGTAAGGTGGGTCCTTTTGGATCATGGCTACAGAGCCACTGAGTGAGTAGATGGCTAAATGTGAGGAAACACTTCACTAGTTGGTCTTGAATCAACAGGGAGCTTCTCTTGGAGTCCTCTTCTCAAAGCAAAATCTTTCAATGAGTTTATCATTTTACACCTCTGAATTTATGAGGGGAAGGAGGTATCTGCACAACTCCTCAGATGTCCTGCAGTCAATATTCCTATTTTCTCCAAGCAAAGTATTTGACTTTTTTTTAAATAAAGCTGATCATTTTGGTAGATAAACCTCCCCTGGTCCCAACTTTACTCATGATTTCTTGCAAACCAAAATTTAAGTTGCTCAATTTTTAATAGTCTGCTTTTGGCCTCTCCTATTTCTACTAAATTTGGCTGAAAATAGCCAACAGTATCCATATCAGAGTCTGAGTGTTGGGCTGACTTGAAATTTCCTCACCTAGATCAGTTCATAGATCTTAAACTCAAATCTCCTGCAAAGCCTCAGGTCATGGGCAAAATATGTACTTTGTTCTGACTGAATATAAAAGGGATGGTTCTTGGTGCAACTCTCAAACTAGCCCTTGTACTCAGCTGAACACTCTAGAGCCTGTCCTTTACCTCCACATATGTCAGCATTGTCTTCTGTACTTCAACCGAAATTATTCCTCAGGATCTCACAGAACCCCAAGGCTTGCTAACCACATCTCCAATCCTTTCCAAAATTCTCCTTCAAACCAATTGCAAAAGCTTCTAAACTACATGTTAGATGCAGTCAGTCCCAGAGCTGTGCTTCTCCAGTACCACTTTTCCGTTTTAGTCACTCTCCTTTTACTAGGAAAAAAACACCCTACACATCCTACACCCTCAAACAAAGGCGTTTATTTTGTTTCACTGTTTCCAAGAGTTCGGGTCACACTCCCAGTCACCCTCCTCCACCCAGATCTCAGCTAGTAATGGCTCGTGCAGCTGGCATCTCACCAATGAACCAACGCAGTGGAGACTGTAGCACCTGCCATCCAACCATATTCCAAAGGTGCATTTCTGAACTTTTGAGAATTTGGGGGGATATTTTCAATCTAAATCATGCTATTTTCCTCTTTTGTTTCACATTTTGAAATGTGTGTATTACATTCACTAAATTCTGAAAACTAATCACTCATTAGGAAAGTATTCAATGGCATTTTTCTTAAGCTGTCCAGTGTGTACTTCATATTGTTACAAACACTTCTGGTCAGTCTTTTAACTGATTTAAAACTTTTAATGAAAATCTGATAAGTTTCCTTTTCTGACATTTGATTAGTGCTTGCCAATTCTTTCCTTATATATTGAACTCCAAATATTCATCTGTAAAACTACATAAATATTATATACTACTCAAAATTAGTTAAAATCATATATTATTTAAATTTTACCTGGCAAATAGAAGAGGAGGGGATAATTATGTGCAGAATTTAAAAAATAGTCCACAGTTATACATGAATAAATACTTTTATTATAGTCAGATTAGTAATAAGCTGAATGGTTTAAAGTAACAGGAGAAACAAAGAGGAAGGCAAATTTACAGTTTCAGAGAAATAGAAATTCTGACCTCGCGCATTGCCTCCTACTTTTGCCTAGTTCATTACCATGCCAAACAATTTCATCACAGTCCAAATGTGACCTTTGCCCTTCTCACAAGACAATTCTGCATTAGACAATCTAGTTATTGAATGTTTTTAATAAAGAATAACCTTTTAATTGGATTTTCAGTGAAATTTCAAATATATTTTTAATCCGGAATATATTTTTTTTCTTAAGATGATGGTTACTACTCTAGAAGTCAGAGTATTTCAGGAAAGAAAAATCTTGCTCAGCTGGTAAAGCTTTCTCTTTCTGCCTTGTTTTTTCTTTTTCTTTTTTCATTTTTCCTCTCCTTCTACGACATTGGGGATTGAGCCCAAGTCCTTGTGCAGTCTGTAACTTTTTTCTTACGAAGAAAAGCAAGGGTTTGATTGGTAGAGGATTTGTTTTGGCAATCCATGTCTTTTTTATTCAAAACATGCATAGACCATTTTCTGAATATTTCTTGAACAGCATTATCCTTTATATCAAGCTGATATGAATAAACAAAGATTTTCACAACATTTACACATAAACTAAATGTTGCCTCTTCTCATCCCGGCATCACTGTGATGTTTCCCACTTGAAATTAAAAGGTGCATTCTAAAGTTGCTCATCGAACAAATATATCCGCGCTCACTATTGAAAGCAAACTTAAATTCTGATCTTTTAGATAATGCAAAAGACAAACCAGAGTCCCACAAGGAATATTTTCCCAGCTAAGCTTAGTTCCTGTCGAGATAGATGGTGTATTTGAAGGGAAAGATAATAGCAGGTATGAGAGTAGAAATTGTGAGCTCAATTCTTTGTCAGGGGACCCGGGAGAAGATCCACAGTTCGTGCAAAGCACAGGCAATCAGTTCATACTGTAGATAGTAGGAGAGAGAAATACAAAAGAAAACATTCTAATAAGGGAGAATTTCAACAAAATGCTGCATGATAGGATCACTTTGTGCTCCCCGGTGTATTCTCTTTGGAGAAGGCAGGAGCCCACGTTGCTGACATCGGTGGTTGCTTTCTATTATGCATTCCTGAAGGATTCTGAGCAAGTGTGCTGGCTCATTGTACTTCTATTTTCAACTGGAAAAATCAGACAAGAAAATTAACAGTGTTGGTTAAATCATCTTGTTCTTATACCTTTAGCGGCTTATTAGTAAGACGATTTTTGTTTAAATTTGTATTAATTTAAAGAAGATGTAAATTGAAATTCTTGAGGTTTTTCCCTATCTTTAATGAATGAGTAGACGGCTGCTATAGATAAGAAGATTATGATCCCCATTTTCTCTAAGGGAAAAAATTGGAAAAATTATTAGGTAGTACAATGTGGAGGACAGTGGCTTAAAAACACAGATTTACAAAAACCTTTTGCCACTTAACTTTCAGAGTTATATCGTAATAAGTACATAATACAATCCTACAGATAAATACCCATTTATAGGTGAAGTAATTAGGCTAAAAGAGATAAACTTGGTCAAGGCCACTGAAGTAACATTTCTTGTTTGGCTCTCTAGGCTTATATATTTCTATCATAGTCTGTGAACACCAAAGTGAGATCTTATTTAGAATATTATAATGGAGCAGTTATATGTAGTTGAAAATTTTCTGAATCATAAATTATAATGATAGTATGATGGCAAAATTTTACCAAAACACAAAGGTAAGAATTTTAATATTTCTCAGCCCTTGTGAAATATATTTATCTTATACTCAGTGGTATAATTGCTTTGCCTAATTCTTGCAATATTTAAAAAGTACATTCCATATAAATCAACAAGATGTAGCCTTACTTTTACATATATTGCATTGTGTTTTCACTATTCTTTCTTTCATTTTATGAACACAAGCATCAGTGAGGGCCTTCTAAGTCACCTTTACTCTAACCTACAGTATTTGCAATAAACACTCATATTTGAAAGGCTTCCTTCTGCTCAGGTCTTACTTTACTACTTCATTTTGTTGAATGTTTTCTAGAAATACTACATTTTAGGTCATACTTACTCTTAAATATTTTTAATAGCTTCTCCCCGTCCAATTTGTGTTCTCTAAGACTGTAATTTTCCCTAGTCTACCAGGTTTTTTTTTTCTCACTGTTTTAAACAATTCTGTTTGTCAGATTGGTCTAGTCAAAGTGCCCTAAACACGTCTCTCCTTTTCATGCACATGTATATTGCATTCTGTCACATTCAATGCCCACCCACATCCTGTATTAAGCCTTAACAGTCATTATTATCTGCTAACATTCATGGGAATATCTGAGCTAACACACGTGGCTTATTAGAACACCACCTACATTCAACTGGTTGGGTCTTCCTGGGCCATTGCTTTGAAATGATCACCATCCCCAGTGTGATGGCAGCTGCCTAAGAGACATGACAATTTTCTGAAAGCCAGAGGAAAAGACAGAATCACTGTCTTCATAGTGTTCAGTCTGCAGATGCATTCTGCTACAACATGTGAATTAATTCAAAGAAATGACAGTGAACTTTTGGTGAAAACTGATGCAAAATAAATTTCCACCTTCCTAAAATTTTGATGCTGAACATTATATCCAAACATTCAATTTTTAAATTATTGTTGATTATTTTTGTCATACATTAGTTGATACTCCCAGAGTCCTGGAGAAATCCACCTTTGCATATTATAAACCTACCTCAAATAGAAGTTTTCTCAAGAGGAAACAGGACAATTATTCCTAAAACATTTTCGCGTTAAAAAATCATTTCTAGAAGTTTCAGGACAACAAGACAACAGGGTTTTGGAAGGATAAATGTTTTTAGTAGCAAAATATTAGTTGAAATTAATGAAGTTATAGAGCCCAGAAATGGTGTTTTTCAGTTATTCTGACAATTTGAGATGACATCATTTTGAGGAGTAAAATCATTTTTAGACACAAGATAATTTTGATAATAGATTTTTATTGTAATTTTCCCTTTATTTTTTTCAAAGCAGTGGTAATAAGAAAAGTCTACAGGTAATGATAGTAATGAATTTTCCCCCTTAATTACTGTCACAGGTATAAAATGATTTAAAATTAACAAGTCTATTTTTTGTGATTTTTAATGTAATTTTTAAAGAGGAAAGAATAAAGAAAGGGAAAAGGAGTAAGATAAATGCAGAAGTCTAAAATGAAGGATGATAATTTAAATATGCATTACATTTAAATATTTTCTCTTAAGTGTGATGATCAAAAAACATAAACGGTTGACTACTTGAGTCGTGCACTGTGATGAACAAGTGTTGCTCAGAGAGCAGTTTAAATACAAATCAGTATCAAATAATTTGCAGCTCTATGGGAGAATCAAAGTCTTTATGTTCAGCATGAACACAAGATCTCTGCCTCTTGCATATCTTTGGGCTTTCCATAGTATTCAACTCAGAAGTAATCACTAAAAAATGTTGTATGAATGCAAGGTCCTGAGTTCAATCCCCAGTACCAAAAAAAAAAAAAAGAAATTGTGTGAATAAGGGAGCATTTCCACTATCTCTATACTATCTAATACAAATAAAAATGTGTGTTCAAATAAAAATGTGTTCAGATACTGAGCAAAATGCAACAAATGTTTTTCTACATAAAGGACTAGTATTTTCTTTTCCTTTATTATTCATTCATATAGGAGGCGCGATCTTCAGTTATCTAAATATATATGTGTGTGTGTGTTTAAATATAAATAGTTTAATATTCAGAGAAGTCTTTCTTAGATGATTGTATTTATAATGATTTTACTTTTATCTCTCTTTGCAGTTGTCCAAGAAACAACATCTGGAAAGAATACAGAAAATTGATAATTGTGATTTCAATTTATAGTTACAAATCTTCAATTTTTCTATGTTGAACATTGCCGAGTTATTGATATAGACGAAGAAGAGTTCGTGCACACTAAGTATTGATTGGGATGCTGGAGACAGCAGGGAGTCAGAAAGGATGGGGCAAGTTTGCTCCACGAGTTCTGAAATAGAGTTATGTAAGTGTATAAGTTCTTTTGTTATATTGCATAGTAGTTTGACTACAGATAATAGTAAATTGTATATACCAAAGAAAGGGAACAAAGGGGCTTGAAAGTTTTGATCACAAAAATGCTGAATGTTTTAAAAGACAGATATGTTTGTCTTTATTTGCCCTTATGTGTGTGTGTATGTGTGTGTGTGTATGTGCGCACTTACCTGCTTGATTTATATATATATGATTATATATGTATGATTTTATATATAATCACATGGTTTCCCATAAATATATTCAATAATTACATATTCAACAAAAAATTAACTCAGCATAGAAACACATCAAACATGAAAATGACACTTCTATAAAGAATCAGAACACTACCAGAAGTCACTTCCCAAGGGTCATGCTTATCCCAATCACCTATGACTTGGCTTGTAAGCTTGTGTGTAAACAGAACTGTTGACTGCATGTATTTGTAAGTTTTACATTAGTACATCAAAGTACCTGAGGCTGGTTATTTTATAAACAAAAGACGCTTTTTAAATTTACAGTTTTGGTGGGTGTAGTGGTAATATTGGCTCAATTCAGATGAGGAATTAATGACTGATGGCCTCATCAGGGAGCATATATGACAGGAGGTGGCCCTGAGAGGGAAGGACAGGAGTTACTGTTTCCATAACAACCTTCTCAGGAGAACTAATGTGAGTTCACAAGAACTACCTTCCTCAATTACAAAGAATATGTCCTCAATGTCCTCTGGATCTCCCACAATGCTCCTCTTCCTGAAGGCCACCCCGAATCTTAGCATCAGCATCCTGTGAACTCTGAAGAATGAACCCAATCATAGCAGTCTAAGTACTTTTTTCAACCTTGTATTTGAGTGACTTAACTATGCACCTTGTATAGCCACAGTTCCTTCACCTTCATTGATATATGCTATTCATTTGGAAGAACATGTTAGATAAATCATCTACCCGGTCCAGTGTTTGGGTTGCCTCCCATATAATTACTCATATTTTATGAGCAATTTTTGTTTTTTATAAATGTTTGTTAATACTTTTTACTTGTCTTGTGGAGAACATATATCTGTGTGTCTCTGGGAGAGGCGTTGTGAAATCAGAGAGTTGTGTGCATGATCATCTTTAGTAGACTTAGCCAAAAGCTTTCCAGACTGGTTTTGGCAAACTATATACCCACGAGCAGAGCAAGACAGTTGGGGTTCCTTCAGAACTTGAGCATTTTAATAAATTTTAATCTTGACGTTAAACTTGCTCTATCTAAAAATTGTTTAACAAAATTTTAAATTTGTTCTCAAGTTATTGGCTGTGAGTTTTAGAATGTTTGATTAAAATGAAGCAGGTATAATTAATTATTTAAAATAGTAACAAAGGATTATCTTAATACTATTTATTTCTTCTCTGTGAAGTCTCGCTCTTCTCTCTTGCTATCTTTCTCTCATACACACATATACAAACATATTCTTTTATCTAAATCTTGAGCATTCACCCAGAAAGTAAGAGTCATTTTTAGTGTTCTACTAAAAGCCCCCACAGCAGAACAGAAAACAATACATATTCATAAACAAACAAAATTAGAAGTCAGTGTTCTGAAAAAGGAGTGCTTGAAAAAAATACCACAATTCTAAGCTTTACAGAACATATCATTGTACTCAGTGTAGGAGGTGAAGACAAGAGGCAATTTATTCTGCAGCTGGTTTCGAAATAAACACAGCAAAGAAAGATAAGGAGTGAAAGAGGGATAAATCCGCTGGTAGCAAACTTGATGGACAGACAGGCTGCCATTAACAATGCTGTTGCCTTTGTGAGTACAGAGTGATGTGGAGATACCCTGGCATTTATACTGTAGACATGGTCCTTAAAGATTTTACACCTCCAATTCCTCAGAATTATCAGCTATCTCCAGCCTGTCAGTCATCCAAGCAATCTTAGATTTTTAGCTTGCAGGCCAGGCAGATTATTGACAAAGCAATCCAGGGTGATATAACACACCCTGACAAACAACAGTGAGGGGATTGTGTTTACCACTTTCACTGCACCAATTCAGCTGAATTAATTCTTAACACTGCAAGTAAACTTTCTCTTGATAACCATTCACTCCCTACCCATGTTGTTTTGCTACACAGCACTGACTCTAGTAGAGGTGCAATAGAGCCTGATGCACCTAATTTAATCTGGTGGGGACTAATAGAAGCAAAGAAGGTATCTGTCTCCACAGCAAGAAGGCTAACAAGGGCATCTGTAAATATTTCTTTTAAAGTGTTAGAATAGAGTTCAGGGTTTGATTTAAGTATACAAAACTAGGAGATTTCTAAATTAGGTCTGCCATTGCATCCTTAATTCGCCTTTGGATATAGAGAAATTGAGCTCACACAGCTCCTGGATTATGTTCTGAATCTAAAAAATCAAATGTAACAAAACAATAGCCATGAAACACATATAAAAACAAGAAAGATTAAAGAAAATTATCCTGAGAGCTTTTTTTAGAAAAGTGTATTTTTGTGCCTAAACAGCTTTAGCTTTGATTACTGAACTCTCAAAACAGAAACTCAGAGAGTTTGGAGAGGGTGAAAAATAATTTTTGAGTGGAGAACACTGACACACCCTTAATCTGCCTTGTTGTTTGTTGTCGTGTTCATGGCTAACCATCACAGCTAATGGGGGGGTCTTTGTTAATGTGTGAAACTATGTTGCATCTTAAATCACTTAGAGAACATAAATGGCATATGAGAGTAATTATATTGAACTCATTTCTCGGGACTCATAGTTTGAATTTTTAAAGCTAATTTTCATACCTAGAGACTAA